CTGTTTATATTATAAATCAGAATCAGCTTTTTTTAGTTTGAAGAATATTTTGTCAAAAACTGTCCACCGGCCGGCAAGTGAGATGTTATAAATTGTGACTGACGAGTAAGCACCGCCTACTCGTACGTACATTCCTACAGACACTACACACACATACGTACGTACGTACGTTCGTTCTCTTGCAAATTATTATCATATATGCGCGTGTTCTCTATGTAGCGTGCGCTATACTGGTGTGCATTCATGCTGCAGAATTTCTGGCCAACACTTTCTACTATGCACTCGGAATTTTTTGCAAGGAGCTATTTAAAAGTGTGTGCAAATATTCAAATGTGCACAAATCGTTTGTGATTGAAGTGTTAAATAATAATCATTTTAATGTTAAGATGGAAACAGTACACAGGAAGAAATTAGTGAGATGTTTAGAGAAGTGAGAGAGAGAGGGAGAGAAAACATTGAGATGTTGAAGATGAACTGGAGAGAATGGCGAGATGTAGAGGAAAGAGAGTGTGTCCATCGTCCTATTGGTCACGAACGTTCTTGAATCACGTAGGCAGTTATCCATTCAAAAGCATGGATGCTTTGCAGCAGCAACTCTGCTTCGTGACGTGAATCTTTATTGGATGTTGTCCTTGTGTCTTACTGTTCGTTTGTGTTTTTCCTTTTTTGTTGTTGTTTATATTGTTGCTCGTGTTGTTGTTTATGTTGTTGCTCGTGTTGTTGCTTATGTTATTTGTGTTGTTATTTGTGTTGCTCTTGTTCATGTATTTATATTCGTTGTTTATGTTTTGTTCTCCTTGTTTGTTATAGATGTTATTGTTTTGTTGCACATGATATAATTTTGATATCATCATTGTGCTATATAATGTCAGATTTTTACGTAGATTGTTGTAATGGAATTGCTGTTATTGTAACTTTCGTAACAGGCGATGCTGTTGTTTAAGTGTATGATGATCTCCGACATGATATGCTAATAATAGCAAACATCATGTTGCCCAGGTTGTTGGGGTAATAAGCAACATGTTGCTGATGTTATTGTGATAGTAAGCATTGTGTTGTTGATGTTGTTGCAACATTGTTGTTTCATTCTTGCCATCGTCATAGCATGTGCGGCTTTTTATTATTTCTAATGCGAGCACAGAATGAACGTGTGTGGTCATTACTAAGATTGTTCACGTTTCTCTGACCGTTACAACGTATTCGCGTGTATAAATCGAAGTGAACGTTAGAACATCATGCAGTGTGTGAACTTTATTTTTTAATACATCGTTTGCGTTTATTCATCCAACAGTTTGATTTTTAACCGGAAGTTGTCCGGCGGTCAGCTGTTCAACAGGAAGTTTCCAGCAGTGAGAAATTCAACAGAAAGTTGTCAACAGTCAGCTGTTTAACGGAAATTACGACAGATGAGTTGATTGTGCTTACCATGTTACTAGCCAGTAAAATACATTTTGGTTGGTTTCAAATACAGCGGTTTGATTATTGTGCAAAATGACAGTAACTTAAAATTGTAAACAAAAAAGAGTGTACTCCGACAAAACGTTAACATCAACCCCATCAATGACGGCCTCACTGACATCACCAACAACAACCACGCTAAAAACATCAACCATTTATAACAACAATAACAAGAACAGCACAGGCAAACCAACAACAACAACAACATTCGAGCCATCAATATCACACCCGTAATTAAAATACATAATCAGATTTCGACGTGAAAGTTATAAATAGGGCAAGAAAATGTTCCAATGCTGCGTTTGAATGATGTGCGCAGCGTGGAAGTGTAAGCACAGTGTGTGTGTGTGTGTGTGTGTGTGTGTGTGTGTGTGTGTGTGTGTGTGTGTGTGTGTGTGTGTGTGTGTGTGTGTGTGTGTGTGTGTGTCAAGTTCATGATGTATGTTTCAGACGTGTCCTTCTCCAACGTATGTTTCAGTCTATCCCTTCCTACTTCTCTATTACTACGTGTGAATTTGAATGCATGCAACCTAGCAGAACTATGTGTGCTAATGAAGTGTGTTAGCTAAGATTGCATTTGTCAGTTTTTCTCAGTAAAAAATGTTCAAATTTGCATTTAAAAAACAAACTCTTCGTTAATATGCAATTGTAGTTTTTAAAATAGGATAACGGTTAACCGGGTGGCAGCATTCAGTAGTTAGTTCTTTGAAGATTTGTTGGCCTTAGTCTTTGTTGTTGTTACATTTGTGGTTTTCGCTGACTAAATCATGTCGAAATGCTAGTAAATATATTTTATATTAACGTTTCACATTAGTGCTGTTGTCGTAATTTTATTTTCCAAGAATAATAAAAACTTTTCTCGAAATCGTTACTAAACAAATTTCTAAATATTACTAAACTCTTTTTTTTATGGTTATTTCTGTCAAACGACTCTTCCAAAAAATATCAACAACATCCACATTTGATTCATAAAAGTATTAAAAATAAAACTCTGATACAAACCCACCCTCTTCAACATTTTGAACAACGTCATCACCGTCGTTGGTAACCATCCCAGCACTGTAGCCACCATTTTCACGTTGATTTCCTTCAGTGCTCTGCACGGGCCAATGTACTTTCAATGAAGAAATGAAACCGTCAAAGTGCAATGCTCCTAAGACAAAAGACATGACTTCATTCAAGAATCCAGCGTATGTGTGCCTGCATATTCATTCATATTACAAAACCACGTGTTGACTCGTACTCGTACGTACATACAAACATTCAGCGAAACGAACGCACATCCATTTATATTTATACCATTATACAAAGTGTTGACGAAATTTCTATCGTGACCTCATTTCACCGCAGCCACTTTCAATTACGTACAGCCTGTCCGCAGACATTCGTCGCTAAAAAAATTGCGCGGACTTGTCCTCTTTGAAAGTTATGCACGGAAGTTGACCGTGTTAACGTACAATCGTACGATGCACTCACTCACGCTCACGAATTTATTAACATTTATAAATCTTATCAAGTTTGAATCGTTTGAAATTGAAAATAATTTGCAAAATAACCAACTTAAAATTTGATTCAGACAAAATATTTAAGAGCATGTTTAGAACCGTGCATACTTACGTATATTGGATTAGATAGCACGTGTTAGGCAGCAGTTCTCAACCAGTATAATATACCTACTCACCACCAATTTGGATTTCGAATGACGATTTGCTATGTATCAAATATTAATTACAAAAACATACAAAGTTAATTCTGTTGATTTTGTGGAAGTTTGTGTTTTAAGTAAAAAGTAAAAATTGGCGAGAGAGGAAGATCGCAGAAGTTTTGATTCTTGCAAAAAACCAAATTACTTCATAGGATTGAAATTAAACTTCACAAATTTTTGCCTTCTTAAGTTCATCAATAAAGGGTCAAATTAAACACACTTTAGTTTCGTTGAAAAAACTCGATTTTTTGAAATAAAACTTCGCTTCAGCGACAAAACCGAAAAATAAAACTCACATAGTCCCATATTATTTTTTTATATGATGACACCATGCCTCATGTACTTGCCAAAATATAATTTTCCGTAAAATTTGAAAATGTCTTTAAAACATCACGAAAAGTTTTTATTGAACATGTTAACCACGATGATTTGGAAATGATTTCTCTTCGGTTCAGTATCAGTTACACAATTTTAGATTAAGTGTTTACAAATATTGTGTTTTGTTCGAGTCTCTTTTTGTTCAAATTCAAGTTTATTATATCCAAAGAAAATTATTTTGCAAGGCGCGTAAGTCACTTTCAACAGACTTTTTAAGCTAATTCGTAAAATTTAATCTTATTTCGGCAATTTCTTGTCCACCTATCAGATTGTTTTTTTTGTTTTCTCTGAGACCTGATTCAACGCGGTTACTTATGTTTCATTTTTACCAGATGACGTTTCGATAGTGAGGCATGTCGGATTGAAATCCTAATGACTAAAAAACTAACAATTTTTAATAATAAATGAAACACCACGAGCTAACGAGGTGATTTGTGAGGGCTATATAAGAAACTGCGATAACTATTCTGATAGGTATTCGGGCTGCTGATGAGTCCCCGGTACGGACGAAACACGTGTCAAGCCTATCCAAACGAATACTTTTCTTTTCTTCTCCTGCTCACTGCTCTTCCTGGTTCGGTGTTCTCTCAAACATAAGCGCAACCGCAACAGGCACGAACCGAATCTCAGACATTCTATCTGTAAAGCGCTATCAATTAACGTCAGGTCTGTTAAGAAAGTCGATCTATCCTTGATGGTTGGTTGAATCGGATGATGACTCAATGAAGCAAGCGTTAGGCGACTTCAGTGCATCAGTCTCCATAACAAATTACCACCTCTACAAAAGAACATCCACGATCGATTTCGAAATATCGGATGGTGAATATGCATGCAACGGTTGTTGAGAAAATGCTTCAATTGAAAAACAGAATATTATTTGACAGAAAAATAATTTCAATTTGTACAACAGTAGTAAGTTCGAAACCAATAATTTAAAAAATTTTAATAGAATTAAGTTTTTATTACGATTAAATGATGTCAAATGTACAAGCCATTATATTATATACAACACCATATTATATATATATTATATATATGTATAATTTTGCGACATTTATAAAAACCTTTTAAGATATATGTTACACGAATAATAGAGTTTAGCGTATCTTATACATTAACATAATGGGTGTGATCAGAATACAAAGTGAAATATTATAATAATAGATAAGTTGTGATTATTGACATTTAACGAACTGATCGAAAACTACCTAACAGTCGTTTTTATTAGTGTGCTCGTACCAGAAAGTGACAAATCTACCTTGATGAACTTAGAACAAATGTATTTATTTACAATACTGCTCTTTCCTCGTCAACACACCTTTCCTTCAAACACTTTGGCAGAAATTAAAAAAAAATCATCAAATCATTGATGCTCTCTAAATGTGTAAAGGTTTCAACTTGGGCAGTCTGTCTACTGATAAAACTACGAAAAATCTTAGAAAGGAAGTGTATCTGCTGGCGCCAAATGAAAAACAGCAGCTTAGCTCACGTACCAGTTTCAATAAATTTATTCATGAGCCAATCATTAGTCATTATTCATTAGTGTCTGCTACGACTTTAAACATGTAAATAGCAAAACCGAATACTTAGCAACAACTAATCAGCTACGCACCTTGTACTCACGTTCACATATTTTAAAAAAATTTGCTGGGCCTACTACGTTGTGATCATCACGCATTAACCACGAGATAAAACTAATTTAAGACAGTAAGATGAACGAAACTAAAAACAGACAAAAGAAACTTAAACTGAGAAAAGAAAAGTTGAAGTAAAGAACATAATTTTAAACGTAAAGAAACTAAACCAAGTTGCAGGACTGAAAACATTTAAAATATAGAAACAACATATCAGGCATTGTAAATTGAAATGTGTGCTCATGAAGAGGAAGCGAGCCATCGCTTAAAGAAAAAACATCTAATTCGTCATAGGATATAATGAATGGATACCATATTAAGTTATACTGTTAAATTCAATCTTCAACTTACTAAGACTGAAAAACTAAAATCCAAACGAAAGATTAGAAACAAAACGAACTCATTGTCATTTAGATGAACAAATCAAATAATCATGTAAAAATGAACGAAAACGTATATACAAAGGAATGGAACATTATTTTAAATTGAATTGCTACCTTAAACTTTTGTACAGCTTTCGATTTTCAACAAAATCTAACTTTTGAATGTGTCTATCAAACAACTTAGGTGTGAAACATCGTAATAAACATCAGCATTATATCAGATTCTTTCTACAGTCGCTTATTTTGAAGTGGACAAGAAGTGAAGTTAAACGTTTGAGAGCAGCAACAAGAGCAAACAAGATTTGTTTGAAATCCAAAAAAATCATTGAATTTGGTGTCTTTAGTTATATTTTGCAATGTTGCATCTGAGGTCAAATGGTGTTTTCATTTAGAACAAAAAATATAACACATGAAAGAAAATTAAAATAAATTTTTAATGCTTGAATCTAGATTTTAATTCCTTGAGTTTCATCGACCATTAGCTTACATAGAGTCCTTTCTTTTTTGATAATCAAACGACATAAAAAAAAACTTATCACAAAAATATAGACATGTGAAAAATCATGCAAGAATTAAAAAAAAAATTAACTTCAAACCAGAAATGAAGATGATGAGTAGAATCTTAGTTCAGCATTGCATGTAAAAACAGCAAATTGAAAATGCATAAAATCAGAAACACGCAATACTCATCAACCCGATCTATCTAACAACATGTTGCCAAAAACTATTTTTAAGTATAGAATATGTACAGAATTGTGACCTTAAAATAGTGCCTAAGTATACTTTAAATGAGCCAACCACTAACTAACAAGAGCCAATCAGATAATTGCAATTATTACAAGACCAGAAAGTTATTTCGCTGGCAAGCATCATTTAAATGATTCATCGTTCATCATGGGATGAACATTTTAATCAATCACTGTTCATCAGATGGGATGAACGTATACAATGAACATCCTGATTTTCAAACAAAATTCAAAATGTTTGGTAAGAAAGAAACATTCACAAATGTACGTAGTGATAACTGTCAGTTAAGTTAATTAATATTGTATATATATATATATATATAAATAAATAAATAAATATATATATATATTTACAATATTCTATAAATTCTACCGAATGTTTGGCGTTAATATTAACGGTATTATTCGGTAGAATTTATAGAATATTGTAAAAATTATGGTCTATTACCAACATATATATATATATATATATATATATATATGTGTGTGTGTGTGTGTGTGTGTGTGTATGTGTGTGTGTATGTGTGTGTTGATCAAATTGTAGTCCTATAGATGTTTCGATAACATCAGAATTGTTAGATGCCTTCCTCACGTGATGACAATGAAAATTTGAACAAGCAGCCCCATGCCACCACATAAATTTAAGGCAAATCATTCGACTGACTTGTACATAAAAGCCAATTGAAAATTGTTAATAAATATTTTAACGATAGAAATAAAAATAAAAAGAAAAACTAAATACATTTATTGAATAAATCTAAAATATATACATAAACATGATAAGTTGGAAGTTAATTACTCATCAAAACATCTCTTGCAGACTCGCACGGGAGTCAGAAGATTCTGGTGAGGGCACGGCATGCTGTAGCTGCTGCAATCATGACAGTAGACTTTGCCACATGATCTGCAAAATTTCAAAATAGTTTGCAATTAATGTCGACAAGTCAGAGGCTATAACCTAAATGGTTAACAATCTTCTGAATACAAGATAATTAATAAATTAGCATTCTTGCTTGCAAAAAGCACACCAATCTGAAAAGCAGTTACGCAACAAACAACAAAAACCCACCTGCAATGATGCTTTCTCAATGCCACCCAAAACTCTCTTTCACAGCCTGCGCAGTGAGTGACCAGATGATCAGGAACCCACAGAACCACTTTGTTGTTGCCCTCGTTCAGCAACTCCCAGCTGGCCACGCTGTTGTTCGATGGAGGATCTGCGCTGCCCTCAGAACTCTGCATTCATTCAACAAATGTGTTTGCGTGTGTTCACCGTGCTCGTGTAAACGATGAACTGAATGCTTCTTGTTCGATACAAGTGTCATCCATGTTTAAAACATTGTGCTTAGTTACGAACAAAAACATGGAATAAATGTTTCCTTCATTATAAAATGGTGAATAAAGAAGAATGCTCTATTCCAGGGGTGGCCAAACTGCCAATCGCTAGCCACACACGACTCTGAAGGATTATTATTTGGGCTCTCGATAAATTTACTCGAGTTCTCTTTTCATTCGTTTGGTTGTTATAATTAAAATATGTTATATGTTTCCCCTTTCCAAATGTCTTTAAAACTACTAATAACAACTACGAAAGACTAAGAGCTTTTCCGTTTATGTTAAGAATGATATGACTAATAAATAGCGTGCAGATTAGTGGCATAGTCATTCATTCATAATCGACCAATTCCAGACCAATTTGGAACTAAACTGCAAGTGTTTTTATTCATAAAATTTTAAAAAATTTATTTTACTTCAAAAGAAGTAAAATAAATGTGCTTAACTTGTAATATTTAAACTCAATCCACATGTTTTATACTTTCATTTTTATATTTTCAATAGATATAGTTTGTGTAAAAAAATTTCAACACATTTTCTGCATATAATTTTAGTGCGTATTTAATTACGGCCGGCGAAAAATTTCAAATTTTGAAAAATGGCTCGGAACACCAAGGAACTTGGCCAACCCTGCTCTATTCATTGCTTGACTGTCTCACTTTTTTCTATAACCAGCTAAATTAATTTGTTCATACTTTAGCAATAATCAACCATGAGATAATTTATATTGATGTTTAAAATTTATAAACTATTGACAATATTTCAAATTTAAAAAAATATAGTGCCGTCTGATAAACGAGAAATAAAATAATGGAATGGAAAAATACACTAACAACATCATCCTTGCAATCAATCAGAGCACTGGCACTAATGCCATCAACGTTTATTAACTTCTTCAAATATTCCAGCTGCCTCTGCATCTTCTTCATCTTCTTGCTGTAAGCACTCTTCATCTGGAGTAGGGATGTGTAGAGTGCATTCGGTATGACGGTCAGCCCATCCGTGTCCATCAACTGACGAATCCTTTGCGATATTTCATCCTGGGCCACCCTCGGCTGATCATGAACATTAAAATTGTTCATAATTATTTAACTGGCTAAATACGAATTTGGTGCTAGAATGTATTTTGTTGAAATATATTGATTCACAGCTTCAAAATAATTTTACAATTGAATTCCCTTTTATGAATAATGAAAGCGATAATTTTTAGATTCTATACCATTTTTACATGCCTATCTATATCGTAATAAATAAATGAATAAATATAATCAGACACGAGACCTGACCTGATTGGTACTTTCGAGTTTTTTGCGAGCTGGTCCAGAGTTCATCCTTGATTTATTAAGAATGCTCTCCAGGCAATCAGCATTCAGAGAGTTTGCTTGAACATCCTCCTCGCTGAAGTTGTCGCCATTGAAATCGTTGTCAGTCTTGTTGATAGCAGCACCGTTCCTCCTGCCACTCTCCATCTCTGCGATCGTGCCTTTGCATTCTTGCACTGGCGTGGCAACTGTTTTAAAAAAAATCCAATAAAAAAATTCCATTGAATAATTGTTACATATCTTGCCATCAAAACATTGAAAATTCGTTGGGACTAACATGGTGTATCGTCGTTATTGTGGTTGGAAGTTAGCTGACACTCAAGTGGAGTTTTGAAATCATCCGCAATGTCACCATTCAGCTGCTGCTGCTGCTTCAGAAACAATTTTATGCTGTTTTTAGTAGCTACTTTGTTTCCAGATGTTTTTGATTCATCACATTCATCGCTACTTGGTGATCCATTTCTCAGTATACTATGTCGAATTTTGTGACCCATACCTCCGTTACTGTTTACCACATTTTCAAGTGAAGAAACGTTCGCTTTAGATAGATTGCATAACGTGATTGAATCTTTACCCAAACTTTTGGACCTTTTTCTTGGTGTCTGTTTATCAAAAGAATTTCTATCTTTATTGCTCTTGCTAAAATTCTCATCGTCAGCCGTCTTCAAAGTCAGTTTATTAATATCTAGATTATTTTCTTTTCTTGTATTCGCAGAGCCCTCCTCACAATTGAAATTATCACTATCTTTAGAATTGTGGTCCTCCTTATTCAATGCAGTGGCGTCGCCCCCTGTTGCAATAGTTTTAGTTGCATCGCGTATCAACTCAACAACTTCATCTCTTTCAGCCCCATCGGCATTGTAACCGACACCAACTTCACTTCCACTGTTCTCTGCACTATCGACACCAACATCGTTGCTACACGCGTTCCTGAAGACTTCCACCTCACCGTGGTAGCCGTCATCCTCGTCGAGGATATCGTCATCCAGACAGGAGTTCATTTCTTGAAGGTAGGAGGCAGTCATGATGGGGGGTGTCTGCTGGAGGTACAACTGCGACCAGAAGTGCATATCCCTCAGCGAACACTTTGGCCTTAATACCTGGGTGGTTAGCAAAATAAAATAATCAGACAGATTATATCTGCATTTGATCAATTAAATCATTAATCTTTAAATGACTGCTCACATGCTTACAAGATGTATATATTTGTTTGTAAAAGCTGATATACAGTAATCTAAAAAAAATTATACTATGGACACCCATAGATTTTTTAAAACTGGCGAAGAGATGTAAGTTGCAACTTGCAAGACGTGACATAAACAATGTAGGAACCAACTTTTTTCGAAGGCCTGAAAAGAGGATTGAGAAGTTTCTTGTTGTCAAGGAGGAAGGTCCAGACGGAAGTGGTTCTGTATTGTGAGGACAGTGTTGACCTATCTTTGTCCGTGTTGTACAAGAAGTCTCCAAACAGACATGAATAGGTGTGGTCAACCAACTTGATCTGTTGCATAACAAACGGTTAACAATATTTTAAAAAGCAGTTCGCATCTTGAATATAACTTGAAACGTATGCATTCATTAAATTGTAATGTGTCAAAGCATATAAAATGCTGTTTGAAACAAGCAAAAATCTTGATCTGCCTAAATAAACACTTTCCATTTGTATCGTAAACAGTTTTAGAAAGATTTTTATATGAGACAAATTACAATTATTTTCAACCATCATGCAGAAATATTTCATTAAATAAGTATTCATTTTCAATGCTAATGCTTATTGAAACAAAAGCAACAAAATAATATAAACAAGAACAACAAATTAAAACATAAAAAATATCTCTTAATTTCCATCTAACCAGAAAATTCATGTTGAACTCGAATGAGCACGGGAACTGTTTGACGAGCTGATGCAGACAATCAACCCACTGCAAGAAGATCGGACACCGGTCATTTTGATTGTCATAATAGCAAGTTCCTTGACCGCAACGATCTGCAAATCTATGTCCAAACCCCAACCATTCTCGCTCAACGAGATCATGAAACCCCTTTAAAATCAAAGTTAATTACAATTTCACTTTAAAATACTAAAATTTTTTGAAAAAAATGTTAAACTCCAACTAATCTGACACACATGAAAGAACACAAGTCATTCAGAGAAACATCCATAATGATCAAAATTTAATTATAAATGTGGAACAACAAAAGGCGCAAACTCATGAAATAACAAATTTGAAGAAAAGTAACCTGCATGGTCCTGTAATAAGGATCCAGCATGATCTGAGCCAGCGAGAGGATCTGAGGTGTCCGGTCCCACCCGTCGGAGCAATGCACGAGCACCGATTTGTGCTCCACCCTGATGCTATCCACCACCACCAACGAAGACTTCAACAAGTTCGATATGTGGAACAGCCACTTACTGCTTTCCAGAGAACTTAGCCAACTAGAAAGATGAAACAATCATCATAAAGTAATCCAATGTCAGCATAGACTAAGTATGCTTTGTAACATAATTCTAAATAACGATGACTAACATTTTTAAATAAGCCTTATTTAATGGCGGGCAACAATCAAAAGGTTAATTTTAATATAGCGCACCGAAAATCTGCACCGAAAAAAATTTCTATAGATTTATTATTTTTAAATTTCTTTTGGCAAAGATGCTATTTTATTTTGTTTATTGAAGATTTATTTCTTGTTGGCAATGTTATGTTAAAGTGTTTCATTTTCAGCAAAGGTCATGCTCTGTTCAAACACAAACGAAAAGAAAACAAATCATTCCCACTAAAAAAATAGAAGGAAACAAAAGTTTTGGAGTAGATAAAAATATGCTCAATAGAATTTTCAATTAAGAGTACTTTAAATTTAGTAAATTCCTTAGAAAAAGGACTGCCATAGAGTTTTGTTCATTTCTACTTTAAACCCTTCAAACCCATTCAACCATTATAATTTTGAATCAATTTTATATCCTCATCATCATTCGCTGATGACTTACATAGCGTTATACAATTAATCATTCATTCCACGTCATATTGAAGCCACAGCTCATCTTTCATTGGCAGGCATCCACGTTTTAAAACAATCATACGAATTTCCCCTCCCCCAAAAAAATCCGTTTCTATTTCAAACTTGCATCATTTATAACACCAAAGGGCGTCCAAAGAAGTCCTGGTCGCAAACAATCGAGCAAGACATGAAAGCTCTAAATTTAAATGAAATAGATACAACTGATCGTCTAATTTGGTGCAAAAAGTTGATGGCAAAGAAAACAACGTCCTACCTCGGGAAACCGGGTCTCTGGACGCAAAACGAAGATTGATTGATTGATTGATTGATTGATTGATTAATATATAACACCATAAAACAACATCGCAACTGCAGAGTAACATCACTGACATGGTGGTAGCAATAAATTACGAACCTGGCATCATCTGAATTGGTGCAGATGTTTCTGAGGTTGATGAAGCATCTCTTGATGCTGTGGATGTTGGGGAGGTTCATGAAGACCACATTCGCATTTGGATAATACTCTTTAATTCAATTTCGTTGTTTAATATACAATAAAAATTTAGAATTAACTAAAAGGGTTTCGAATGTGTTAATATTATCTTAAATTCAAGAAAATCTGATAAATGAAAATAAAAAGTTTCACTACAACTTTCAAGTAAATAATGTTCAATACTTTTCAGAAAAATTGCATCAATAAAATAAACTTGAAACATATTTCACAAGTCTAAAAATTAAAATTTATGATGTAAAAAATAAAATTGAAAGCATAGTTTTGAACACATTAAAACGTCTAGACTGATGACTCTAAAACAAAGTGACCCACCATTGCACTCGACCCCCCCTCCCTTCGCCCTGTTGGCGGTGGCGGCGGCGTACGACCTGGCGTCGATCAGCAGCAGGTCCTTGTGGGGCTCTGTTGCCAACATGTTTACATTTGTTCATCAACACAAGATACAACATTTTCAAATTAGATGCAAACAAATAATTTCAAAAAAATTTTAAGAAGAAGTTCAGTGCTTTGGAAACAACGATCAAATGTATTTTAAGAAATGGGCAAAACAGAGAGAATTTGAAGTTCAGTCATATATATTTTGCCTTAGCATTCTCACTTTAATTTATTCCTTTTAAAAGCTTTCTGTGACAACATGTGTGCTATAAAATTCATAATAATAAAGTAATTTCTAAGCAAAGTAATAAACAAACTTAATGCAAATCTGAAATGGTTATTAAATCATGTGATGCGCTACTTCAAACAATACTGGTAATTAAAATGTCAACTATTTAAGTTAGGTAATTGTAGTTCAATTGCCTCAACATTGGACACTGACCTCGTCTGAAACCAGCTAATGGAAAGCTCAAAGGTTACAAATTATAAATATATTAAAAGAAAGAACAAACAAATAGATGTTATATATATATATATATATATATATATATATATATATATATATATATAATATATATATATACATGTATTATATATATTATATATAAACATATATATATATATATATATATATATGAGGGTGCTTGCACGTTGCTTTTTCAAAACTCTCAAGAGTGCAATCAATTTTGATTGATATGCACAAGCAGGTGTGAGCACTCATAACAACAATCAATAAACTTCTGACAACTTAAATTCAACTTATTTGCAGTTTTGCAAAACAATTTCAGTCACAAAAAAAAATCTACATTACAAATTCAACTTTAATTTCAATTCATTCTGGAGTTCTGATCATATGAGCCTGGCTGGAGTTGAAAGCCAAACAAATGAAGATAACTTTAAAGATGATAGCAAAGTAACATACAATGAAAAATTATTTCAAAATTTTGTCCCAAATGTAATTTCCATTTTAGTTGATGAGTTTGACAAAAATGAGATAATCAACAAAACATAAGAAAACTTGGAAAGAAAACTACTAATACAAGGCCACAGGGATTTACAGGGATTTCCTTCAGTTTTCATTGTTTATTTTATTTGTGTCTATTTATTTATATCATTAATTTTTACATTTTCAACTGTAAAATATTATTTCAATCACACATGTAGGGCTACTCTTCTCCTTCGCTTGAGAGGAGGATAGGAAAAAATAATTTTCTGAGCTCATAATTATATAAACAAATAAAAATAATCGAATGGATGTGCATTGATAACCATTACAACTAATTCTAACAATTTTAACATCAGCAAGTGCTTAGCATGGGCGATTACAAGTCCTAAATATTGACTGACCATATAAACCAGCCAGATGAAACCACCGACCATCCACATCGACAAGTGTTTGACACGAGCAACAAATCATCAAAAGTATCAATCCCACAAAAGCCAACACCAAGACGACGAGAAGAAAGAAAAAGAGCACACGACCAACCAACCAACCATCAACGACAATGGCGTCATCGGGGACGATGGGAATCTGTTCGAGGCCAGGATTGAGTTGGCAGGACTCCCCAACTGACCTGATGAATGCCTCATCACTGCTGTTCCTCCACCACAGCAGACCAACATTCGGCTGACTGCAACGAACCATCACCAGTCCCGTTTGGATGTCTCTGGTCGGTGAGCATTGTTCAGAACGTTATTTATTCATCATCATGTGAGTCGGTGGATGCATTCACATTTAACATGGGTGTATTAAATAATGGTAATTATTCATAATATTAACTATTAATGAATTTGAAAAAAAACTAGTCAATGAACGAACGAACGAACGAATGAACGAACGAATGAATGAATGAATGGAACGAACGAATGAATGAATGAATGAAAAATAAATGAATAAATGAGCAAATGAATGAACGTGTGTATGAACAAGCAGGATGGATGAATGGAATCAAATACAACATTAAAGAAGTTGATGATGTTGCGTAAAAGTAATTGATGATGATAATGATGATTATGATGATGAACGAACGAACGAATGAACGAATGAATAAAAAAAAGACAAAACCTCCAAACGACTGAAGGAAATCTGCTGTTGGATCTGTACTTGGCCATATCTCTGACCATGTCATCGCTGATTGACGAGGGCACGATGTGCAATCTTGGATAGGTCTCACATATCCTGATGGTCAGTGGAGGAGTTAAAAGGTTAATGGAAAATGTCATCAGTCAATCAAAAATATTGGAATAAAAATGATGAAAAAAATCATACAAAAGTTAAGACAATGTATGATTTTAAGAAAATACGTCCTACCTCGGGAAACCAGGTCTCTGGACGCAAAACGAAGATTGATTGATTGATTGATACAAAAGTTAAGACAATAGAAGATATATATATATATATATATATATATATATATATATATAATTAACTACTGGTTAAAGCAGTTGAAATCATCTCATTACCACCGAGAAATATAAGACAGATTTTAAAATATAACACATAAAAATATGCAGCACCACCTGCATGTGAAAAATTAGCTCTACTCTTTCTCGCATACTTCAAGCATGAATAACACAGTTAGCAGGTGACGTGAATGTCAATGAAGAAGGTAATGTATAGTGCACTGCATTCAATTCAATGTCTCACGGTAAACATTTATAAGCAATAATAATAACCTACGAATATGAGTCAAACAATTAAGCAATCAAAGGTCTTTGTGCTTAGAAAATTGGTTAAAATGTCTTTTTATAATAACAAATAAGTAAATGCACTTTATTTCAAATTAAGATTTTAAAAGCTGAACACTATGGAGATAACCAACTATCAGCGTTTCTTCTACAAATATTAAATTAAATTCTGTATACTTTATCTCAAAAGTTAACATTTAAACATTTTCATGATACAAACATAAATACATTTTAATTAGAAGGGTGTAATTTTAGTATACTAATAATAACTACTGATAGAGCTAATAGGTGTAATTTTAGTATACTAATAATAACTACTGATAGAGCTAATAGGTTGACTAAACAATAAGAACGCAAGGCAATAACACACTTCTGCCATCTGTGGTAACTGGCTAACCACGTTACGCAAGCTAAAATATGCATACACCTCAAGTCAAAACGTTGGTAAGAACTCATCTTCACAAACGCCAACTCATATAACTACAACTATTTACACTATGCTACTGTTAGGTTAGGAAGCAATTAATGTAGGATGCATCAGTTCTTTTAGTTTCATCCTATCTTCTCATAATGTTTAAATGGCCTTCTCTGGATCTTGCTTCATAATTAAACAGTACCATTCGGTCTTTCAACAAATAATTAAACAATTTTCGGGCAAAAAATTAATTAAACTTATAAAATAACAAAAAACATATAATTTAAAAATGGAACAAACGAGCATTAGTATATTTATGACATAAAATAAATCTAAATAAAAACAAATGAACATCAAACTTTAAAATAAAAATAATAAATTTATTAAGAAAAAAAATTAGTGGGACAAAGAAATCTCAACAAATTTTCAACAAAGACATAGCGAAACAAAAAAAACAAAATGAAGCCGGTCTAGTTTCATAGCAAATTAGCACAAACTTTACCCAGTGTTAAAGTGCAGAAGATTATGAGTGTTGAATGTGACTTGTGTAGAAATGGAATCAGTCACATACCTTAATTTTATATAGAGTAATTATTTATAAAAAGTGACTCAAGTTTTGCAAGCGTAAACATGATATAATGATATATGCCTACCATACATCAAGTGCGTAAGAATGCGCTTTCCAAACGTACCTTCCACGTTGTTCATTTTTGTTTGCATATGACTAAATTAACAATCTAAACAGAACGGAAAAAATGAACACCAATCACTATCGAAGAACTGACATTTTTGTAAACATAAGTAGAAAATAGCATCAAGGTAACAAGTGATTAAACCGATATAACAAGTTTGATCAATATATGAACCTAACAAATGAAATGTAATAAATTCTTCAAATACATAAAACTAATTAGATTCTGTAAAAAAAAAGTTGAATTTATTTAGCTGTGACAAATTAATCAGTTCAACTTCTGTTCAAACACTAAAGAAAAGAACTTGTTTCATGATGTTATAATAAAATGATAAGCCATTGAATAAGCAACACCAAAAAAACTACAAGCAGTCAGTCAAGTTCCATGTGAATTAATAATGCAAAACAACCAACTCGTAATTTTCATTAGCATGACATATCCTCCATGGGCGACGCTCATAGTTCAAGTTGAAGGCCATTCGTGTCACCTCTCTGTCAAACACAGAACCTTGGAACCCTGTTAATAAATCAATGAATCGATAAAGCTCAAAACAACCCAACAAGATGAAATCACAGTGCTATGTTCAGTTCCTCACACCACATTGTCAAATGATAAATTTAAAGTGGAATATAGGAACATGAACTAACACTCATCAGACAATGATTCACTGCAAGACTTTTCAGAGGAACACCATGCTGCAAAGGTGAGAGCGAATGAAGAAGACAGCTTGCTAGATTGCTTCAATGAATCCAACAGCCTCTTCTGCCACTCCATGCATTTGTCATTTGTTGCAAATGAACAACTAAATTTTATCACAAATATCAATTGTATTAATTAACGATATTTCACCCATATCATCACTAATATTGACAAGTGAGCGAAAACTTGTAGAATTCTATGACAAGTGGATGATAAAAATAATATTAAAATGATGTTATAATTTATTCTAAGGCATCTCATCTTACACTAAAATAAAGTTTTGCCTCTGGATATTCTCCCCTCAATAGCTAATAAAAAAATAGACATCAATAACCGTAGATTAAAAAAACTTAAAAAAAAGCATTATTATTTCATATTGTTCACCATTTAATTAAATGCAATTGCCCTGACATATCATTACGAAATAATTAATTAATTAATCAATCCTTTACTGCCAAGTAAACACAGAAATTCTAACTCAAGGAACATCTATCCCATTCCTATTTCACCCTACTCAGACCCACTCAGACCTCCTTTGACAAAACTTCCACCTAATAAGAGGTCGACTACAAGTACCTCCTTACTTCTCAGTTTGCATAGTACCGGACATGCATGGTAGTCTTTCCAGATGTTGACTAGTCTCAAGTCATTTACAGACTTCACTGCATCCGTCAGAGTTTTTTTATACTTTTTTAGATAAAAAAGTAGTCTAATGAAATAAAAAACCAAATAAATTAAAATTCTTATTAATCGCATATCCAGCTTATGCAGTTGCTTGGAATATGCAGCCTGAGTACGAATTTAGATAGCTAAATGGAAATAAAAAGAAAATGAAAAGATTGAAAATGCTGTACAATAATAGGGAGAAAAAAAAACCCATAATTTAAAAAGAATCATAGTTCCTTTTTCTATTGCATAAACACAAAAATCATATTACTGCTGAGACCACTATTAACAACCAATTATTTCAAAATCATGTGCACTGCACATGTAGCTGACTTTGGCAATAATTTTTGAAAAAACAGCTCAACACATTGCAGTACAAAATTAGAGATAACTGGAGAAAACAAAACGACAGTTGTCCATAAATATTTCTAACTGTTATCTTTATAAAATCAAAACAACATATTATATCTAATAGTATTATTTTTAATGGGAAATTATCCAAAATATAACTATGACCTTTCTTTAAGCTCATCAAAAAACTCAAATTTTCTTCTTTATTTTGATTCACTGATTTTATGACAGCAGTTCATTTTAATGCTAAAAAATTGAAAAATAAAAACTACCTATATGTCTTTGCATCTTTACAAAGTAGGACCAGTGTAAATAAATTCTGACATTCAACTGTGTCTATGAGACCAAGAGGTAAGTTGATGAATGGCAACTCCTTCCTATGCACAAAAAATCTGTAATTGCTAATGGCTATTATACCATTAGCCATGGTGCCAATGTAATCAATGTACTCCCCTGCTATTGGATGAAATGGTATCATGAGGTTGTCTTTCTCATAAGTTGTCTGCTTCAGTGGGTAGAAATCTTTGAAGGTTATCTCCTCCATGCTATGGTCGTGGTCACTCATGTTCACTGAATTTCTCTTTTTAATGTAAGTGCTGCAAGCAAACATTTTGCAACATGATGAAAAAAACTATTTCTAAATTAACTTGGAGCTTTTATACATAGATCAAACAATCTATTGTTTATTATTCAAATTAAAAAATAATGATCACTTCAATAAAATATAATTAAAATATAATTTTAAAATATAATTTATTAAATGTACATAAAAAAGATAATTGTTTATAAAAAAAAACTTAAAACTAGAGAATAGTGAATGAATCAATCAATTAATTCATAATTCAATTATTCATCAAGCAAATGATTGTTAATAAATTAATAAAAGTTAAACATATACACATCTTCACGTCTAATCTTCATTCACTGAACAATAGATGCAATCACACAGCCAATTTATTATTAGATTTATAAAGTTTTTTATCCTTTCTCTATATAACACTCAATTTTTAAGCATTTATTCAGTTGAGCAGTATTGCATTATTCGAGACATTACAAATCATATTGTCCGAGAAATGTTTCTAAAATGGAGTAGCATATGACATGAAATTTTAAAAGATGTCATACAATTTTCTGCTGGCTATTTCCTCCATTTGTTTGACATAGAAATATAATACGAACATGAACTTGGATTGTAGCTAAGAAATTACTAATCTTTTATCATGTTTTTTAATTAATGAGTTTGTTTATACTGTTTATAATTTTATATAGTTTATAATTGACAATGAGTATTTAGGTTTAGAAGGATTTACTAAACTATTTGCTCTAACATACATATACTGGGTAACTTTAAGTTTAATCTATCAAATTCAAATGTGTGCATGTATTTATTACATGAAAAATATGAATTAAATAAGAATCATAATATAATATGAATTATAATCAAAATATGAATCATAATTCAATGCATATAGCTGCTCTTAAACAGAAACTGAAAACTGTAAGAGGAAATTACCTAAAAAACACCACAATGCCAATAAAATGAATAATTAAATTTTAATTAAATAAAACTACCTCTCTGAAACTAAAAAAAACTAGCTAATATAAAATAAATTATATTTTTACATCATTTTTTGCTAATTTGGAAATGACAAAAAATTAATCTCAAAACATTCTTGTTAAAAAAAAGACAAAAAAACTAATGTTTGATACTTTTTGTATCTTTTGTTGTTGCAGGTGGGACTTGTTAGTACAAGAAGCCAGAGAGACAAAGCAGAATGATGTCGTATGTGTGGAAGATGGAAGCCAAGAAAAGCAAGACTTTCTTCGCAAACAAACGGCACCTGGAATACAAGACACTAACAAATTCGACACCAGCACTTCGAGCAATGTTTGAAAACGTCAAATCCGTCTGGATTAGTGCAAAGAAACGATATTTAAGCCCTTTTGCGAATGATTTTTGCACCATCGGACGTAAATATAAACATAGTTTGCATATTCATGAGATGCGATTTCAAAAAACTCTAAATAGGAACATTTTAAATAAAATACCGAAATGAAGAATTGGATCATATTACTTAGAATAGCTTATTTAATGTCAATTTCCTGATTAAATCTAAATTTTATATGTGAAAAAAAATATCATAAACGAAATAATCATGGTATTTTACACTGGTATCATCATGTCGTCTACAGCCTGTTCTCTAGATCTTCTTTCTAATTTACTTGAAGAATTTTCTTAAATATTTTATTCTATCATTCTCAAATTAGTTAATTTATCTCTTTCCACCTCCAAATTTCCTACTTCTTATAAAAATTCTATTGTTATTCCTATTCTTAAAAACTCATCCTTAGATCCTACCTCTATATCTAATTATAGACCTGTTACTAATATTACTAACATCTCTAAAATAATAGAAAAAGTAGTTTACAATCAATTGTTATCTTATTTAAACTCTAACTCCTTGCTACCTGTATCTCAATCTGGTTTCAGACCTGCTCACAGTACTGAAACTTCCTTACTCAAAATACACAATGATATCCTTCTTTCTAGTGACAATAGTACCCTAATCTTACTCTTCTGGCTCTTGATTTTTTCTCTGCCTTTGATACTGTTAGTCATACTATTTTCTTAAGGCGGCTAGATCTTTCTTTTAATATTACTGATTCTTGTCTATCTTGGTTTTCTTCTTATCTCTGTAACCGTTTTTCTTCTGTTGTTCTCAATAATTCTACTTCTAACTCCTCTAACTCTTACTTTCAGAGTACATCAGGGTTCTAAACTTGGCCCTCTTCTATTTATACTCTATATCTCTGAACTACCTCGTATTATTAATAACTTCTCTTTCACTAGTCAGCTATATGCTGATAATTCTTATATTTATTCTTCTTTTCCTCCATCTAATCTCAATAGTGTTCTTCATAACCTATCTCTATGTTTTTCTTCAGTTATCGCTTGGTCTGACTCGCTATGTGCCTTAAACTTAATCCTTCTAAATTTGAATTGATTTGTTCTAATAAACCTAAACACTTTGTTTCCTCCTATTATCTTACCTAATTCTAAAACTCTTGATGTTTTTCTCAAGTTTCGTAGTCTAGGTTTTATCTTCGATTCCAATGTATTTTTCTTCTCAGATTAATAGTGTTGCTAGAAGTTCTTACCTTCATCTACGTAGAATAATAAAATTTTTGCCTTTTCTTGATGACCCTACTTTTCTCCTTCTTGTTACTTCGTTAGTTTTATCTAGGATTGACTATTGTAACTCGCTCTACTATGGTCCTCCTGATTCTATACACTATCCTTTAAGCAATGATTTTAATTCTGCTGCTTGTCTAGTTGCTCGTGCCCCTTTCTTTTCTCATACATCTCCATATCTTGTTCTCCTGCACTGGCTTCCTATAAAATAAAGAATAATTTTTAAATTTTGCACATTTATGTATAAGTCTCAATCTAAATTATTTCCTAAGTTCTTATCAGATACATTAATAATTAATTGAACCTAAACGCATGGATATACATAATATGGATATGGCAGAAGCGTTATATATACATACATTTTTCATATATATATATATAACATCAAGGTAAATCTAACAAATTTGATGCATAGAATAGCAATATTTGTTTAAAAGTGAATTTAAGTTAAAGTAAATAATCAGTTTTTAACCGGTTGCTTAACGATTATCGTCCGTCATTTTCTTATTTGTTTAATTATTTTATATACTTTAAGTTTAATCATGCCCATGTGCTCAATATCCCAATGTCATGGGTCTTATATTCTTATAAAGATATCGGCGTAACTTTACATGGGTATGTATAATTAATAAATAATAATAAAATTTTAACATAAAATACTAAAAATAGCTAAGGTTTTTTTCAATAATAAAACTGAACAGACTACCAAAAGATGACAGTCAAAAAATACAGTAGGAAGGGAATATAAAAATTCATATTACACATTTTTGTAGTAGAGCTTCATATGCAGACGGTTCTTTTTACAAGAATACTTTTACAAAGTGGGTTCTAAAATGCTGCTTAAAAAAACTTCAGTTCCTACAGTATTTCCAAAGGTTTTGTTCTTTTTGTAAGAAATAAAAAATTTCTAATTTAAAAAGTTTGAAAAAAAATTAAAGTAACATTAAGGTTAAATTAAAGAAATAACTAATTATTGGTGCATCATGCAAAATGAATCACTAATTAATTAATTGCATGACACTAATACATTATATTATAGTTAGTATATTAATTAGATATTTGTTCCTGCAAATCACATAATCAAGTATATTGAATATTTATCATTTCCAGGTTTTATCATATAATCAGGTAAATACTCTATCTGAAATGCAATCACCAATAATGATGGCGACAAACTCAACTGATGAACCAGTATGTTTGTTTAAATATAAAATTTGCTTAAATTGGTATATTACTGATTGTATGTGCTACAGTTAATATTTATTTTTTTATTTTATGCCAATAAGAAGATACACATATGTAAGTACATGTTCAAGGTATTTATTTCACAAAGTTTATGATGAATCTACCACACATACTTTGATGCATACATTCATTCATGTGTAATATTCAAACTTCAGACAGAAAATGTTGCATCTTTAGAAAATGTTGCAGTTCCATCAACATCAATTGTTATATTGATTTGTATGTATGATGGTTCATTTAACAAATAAAAAATAGTGAAAAATGTAATTTAGTATTTTAACACATGTTTCTCTAACTATAACCAGAATTATAAATGATTGTCAAAATACTTAATATGAGTTGTTGAAAGGAAAATGAATAATTTTACAGACTGGTATTGATGCATTGATACCTAGAAGCCTGAAAAGGAAAGCTAAAAAATTAGATATATCATTAAAAACTACCAGAAGTGTTCTATATAACTACAACAAAAAAATTAAAAGATTAAGAGTCAAAGTTGAAGTATATAGAAATAAAATTAAGATGTTGAAGAAATACAACGATGAACTTGCCTCAACATTACTTTCATATTCAGGTATGCTAATTATTAAACTTTAAAAATAATTTTTAGCAACAAATCTTTATATATGCCACTTTTTTTAATTTTTAAAATTGAATTGGCATTTCAGATATTCCAACAAAACTTTTCATGAAACCGAACAAAACCTATACTGAAGAACAAAAGCGTTTTGCATAGACATTACATTTGTACGGTGGAAAGAGCTACCTGTTTTTGAAAAGTAAAGGATTACATCTGCCACATAAACGTACATTAGCACGGTAAGTTATTGTTTAATATTATATATATAATTGAAAATTAAAGTATTTAAATGTATCAAGGTGGTTAGAATCTCTGTAGATGGAGGACCAGGCCTCAATCGTTCTATGTTGAATTTCCTGAAGAAAAAACACCAAAACAATGTGCAAAACAATTTACACATTGTTCTTTGATGATAGATAGTATGTCAATTCAGGATCAACTGATATATTTTTTGCATTTCTAAATCTCTCTTTTATAATAATTTTTTGTTAATTTTTAAACATTTAAATATTTCTTAATTGAAATCTGTTGTTATTGTTATTAATTTTAAAATGATTTTACTGAGAGTCATATTATTATATTGGTACATCTAGTCAACTTCTATTAATTGAACATTCCTCACACCAACATTAAACAATTTCCAGCATTTCTTGTCATTTTTTAATCTTAATTTCTTTTTATTTAACCCCTTTTTTAAAAACATAAATAGGTATGGGCATTTATTAATTTATAATTTTTCAGCTATTATGCAAAAGTTTCAATGCTTTCAGATAAATTTAAGATGTTATTTTTATTTTTAGGACCATTTAGATATTGATAAATTTAAATCTAAATATTTCCAAAGAATATGATGTATTATGTATCTTACAAATTTTTTATCTGCAAATTTAACAAACATTTATTTCATTAAAGATGTAAATATTTTTGTAAAATGTTTTGAAAATAATTTTCTCAATGTTAATTATTTTTTATTACACTGAACTTCACTGCACCCCAACAGTATTTGAGTATAATAAATTAGCAATAATAATTTTATACATGATTTTTATATTATGAAATATAATAATGTTTAATTATACTAAATAGTTGATTGATTTTAATTAAATTCCATGTCGATTAGTTTCAACTAAGTTCATTATATTAATAGTATTTGATGCAGGGTCAGTAATTTTTTTGTTTTTGCCATTTACGTTTTTTAAAATTTATGTCTTCATATATCACTTAGTCCATTTATTTATTTTTTTTTCAATGAACAACTTAACAATTTATTGGAACATGTTGTGCCTTGATTTTTAGCACCACTACATGTACATATAAAGGTTAGCCTCTAGCTTCTAGCATCATCCAAAAGATGTTTCATTTTAGAAAAATTGAACAAAATGTATAGATGTCAATATTAAAATAATTATGAACATCCATTTATTTGCCAAAATTTTCCTGAATCATAATGATTAATTTGTCATTAAATTTTGAATTGAACTTTTATTTTATAACATTTGTTCAGATTTAAAAAAAAATTATAATTTGATGACATTGAAGATAACTGCACTTGTTATTAATCCAGGTGGATGAATGTATATATCAAAGTGTATTTGTAGTAGATTTATCCAAAAGATGTTTTATTTCCAGGACAATTGAGCAAAATGTATGAATGTCAAATATTGAAATAAATATGAACATCCTTACATTTTGCCATAAATTTTCCGGAATCAAAATCTAAAATCATTTTATTTTCAACTAGCAACCTATTTGATAACTAAGTCGGTAGAGACGAAAAATGCAACCTATTTAAATATTATGATATTAAAAAAACGAGGACTTCGTGTCGGCGATTAAATTTAAAACGGCAAAACGAAATATCAACTACAACAAAGAAATGTTTACGCTCAAATTATGTTCTCTATTCCAAAGAACTAAAAAAAATTATTAGCTAGGAATTAATTCTTGTGCCATATCCACTATATCCATGCCTAAACGTTCCGGTTACGATCGTCTTCTTGTTCTCACTTTTTCTTAACTCGGGTTAAACAACCCTTTGCTAAATCTGCTTTTGCTTTTTTGACCCTTTTCTCTGAAACTCTCTACCTACTTCTCTGACTACTTCTCCATCACTTACAAAGTTCAGAGCAGATCTCAAGACCCATCTGTTTGCAAAATTCATTGAGGAGCGATGTTGAACATCGAGCGATGTTGAACATCGCGGAAATAGCGCTTTACAGGCTAATTGATTGACTAATTGATCATATAATTAGAATACATATACATCATCCATATCATACACATATTATCAGACTTAAATGTTATAAACCAGGTTATCGGAGGCGATTGAAAAATATTCCACTCCAGTACCTCAAAAAATTCCGACTCCGAAAAAAAATGTCAACTTTTGTATCTTAATTTTACTTAAATGTTACTAATAAATGAAAAATACTTTAAAAAACACTGAAAACCACTCTATGTAATTGTTCATATATATAAATTCAGTTATATGCAATTATTTTTCTTAATAAAATTATTTTACTTATACTTTATGTTCTAAAAAATACCGAAAAAAACTATGCAATTTTTCATGTGTTGGAGTCGGATGAAAAATGTCCAACTCCGACTTCGCTTTTCAAAAAATTTCGACTCCGACTCTGGGTAAAAATTTTTCGACTCAGATTACAAAATTTCGACTTTGAGTTCCGAATTCCAGAAATATTTTTCCACTTTTGTATCACAATTTCACTTTATTATCACTACTTTATATATTGATTCTAGCATGTTTCTTTTTTTCAGATTAAGTGTTGCTAGAAGTTCTTACTTTCATCTACCTAAAATAAAAAAAACTTTTGCCTTTTCTTGACGATCCTATTTTTTTCGTTCTTGTTACTTTAGGTTTGAACTAGGATTGATTAATGTAACTCGCTCTATTACGGTCTTCCTAATTCGACACTCTATCCTTTAAGCAAAGCTTCTAACTCTGCTGCTCGTCTGGGTGCTCGTGTCCCTTTCTTTTCTCATATATCTCCACATCTTGTTCTTTAGCACTGGCTGCCCATAAAATATAGAACAATTTTTCAAATTTGCACATTAATGTATAAGTCTCAATCTAAATTATTTCCTATGCACTTATCTATCAGATATATTAACTGAACCTAAACGCCCCGGTTTACGATCGTTTTCATGTCCTCAAGTGTTAAACACTCTATTACATTCAGTTTAGTTTTTAAAATGCTCCTAATTTTTTAATTTGTTTTCTGATGTCTTTTTTATAAGTCTTCAATTCAACAGATAATTATCATTTTCCCGCTCGAAACATTACACCCTAGTTTACGTTTAATTGAAAATCAAAACTTTAGGTAAAACAGTAAATGAGTGAATGTAAGAAAACAAAAACGGTTATAGAGATAGAAAAGTAAGTAGGGTGCCGAAGAGGACATTACCGGGAGTTGTCTGCACATACAGCATTTAAAGTATTGAATATAAATTGTCGAAAAACCGGCTGCGGACAAAAGATGGAAATCTGTTTTGTGAATCCCCATCTATCATGTATATATTTGGAGATCAGAAAAGTTGCAAGAGAAAAGAATAAAATGTTTGTTTTGTTGACGTCAGGTTACCTAGAATTGCCTTGAGAAAAAAAACAGAAGATTCACTAAGAAATATCTGCGCGACGCCAAGGAACCTCACATAAAATAAAACCGAGTAATGTAAAAAAAAAATTCATCATCCTGTTGGTTCGGAAGTTGTAACTAGATAAGTAAATAAAAACGAATCAAGGGAACAGATTAGTAACATTTTTATTGAAGACTTTACTATGAATTCCTATTTATAAACAGTATAATATATGACTCAAACTGGCTACATTAAGATATCACGATTAAAATAAATTTGTCACAGTACACATAAATATATTGAATTTCAATACAAATGTCGAATTAAGTAGACAAATTTCCAAATATTTCCTGAGATTTTGTTATCTTCACGGCTTTATGAACTGTGTGGTAAAGCCAACCATCATGCATTCATCTAACATAACATGAACAGGTGAAAGCATTCAGCCAAATACATCTCATCTGGAACGAACAGAGAGATTGAACATTAAAGTTTATTAATTTCTTAAAAATAGAGTACTAAAAATTTAAACAAATTCGCCATACATAACAATATAATCTTCACTAGAACATGAACACTGCAATGCCATCCATGAAATTATATTTCACAACAGCCAATTATAAAAAAAAACTATTCGAATTTCAATAAATTCATAGAACATAATATTTACATTTCAAGTTTTCAGGTAAAAATTCATCAAATTTGAGTATCTGCTCGACACTTATTTAACACAAGAATTCAGTAGAAAACCTATATAATAAGTTCGTGCAAAGTTGTCAGACAACTTTATCTGTTGATCAGTTCAAATATAAACAACGTTATGACGTAACGATAGAAAAATGAGCAGAATCAAATGATGATGATTAGTTATAAACTGACATATCTTAAATGATATGTCCATTTCATAACCTCAGTATCGAGAACTGTATTTGGAACTTATATACTTTGACTTGTCATGTGAACGTGAATGCTTAGACTTTGAATAAGACAGGGAGGATGATGGAGATGAGGCATCATTTTTCCTCTTCCTTTTCTCTTTGTGGTGATGTTTGTACTTGTCATAACTTGAGGATGATGAATATTCGTCTCTATACTTTTTGCTGTTTGTAAATTACAAATATTTATTTAAATTAAAAAGGGTAGAAACCATACAAAAAACTTTAACACCAAAAAATATTTAGATAATCTTTTACATTCTTGCAACTCAAAATATGGCATCAGTTTTCTCAAAAGTTTCATTAGATTATTCCTTAACCTTATTCACATAATTTTTATCATTTGATTGACTGTACCAAAGTGTAAGAAAATTGAAAAATCTAAAGCTGTATACATACATGCTTTGACTACCAACATTGAGTTGATGTTAAAAAGCAACAATTAAAAAACCACATGTACCAACTGACCTGGACCGATCATCACGAGGACTTCTACTTCGAGACCTGGCTCGGTTTTTCCTAGCTAATCGAATGGCATCTCTAAAAAAAGAAATATTTTCAGTTACACAATGCCTAAATTTTCAAAAAGACAAAACAGCATATAAATTGCAAACCTATCATTTTCTTCTTTAGGACTTTTTATTTTTCCGGTTAATTCTTTTTTCTTAGACAATCGAATCAATTCTTCTCTATGAAACAATAAATATCCAAAATTAAAATAACATTTATTAAGAAGTTAAAATATCTTTAAAAAAATTCTTAACCATACTTTTTTAGTAAAACTAACCCTAGAGTTAGAGTTGGTTTGTCATCTTTAACTTTGGAAGATTTTTTACTCTCATCACGATCGTTAAGTTGGATGTCTACTGCTGGTGAGATTTGTGCAGATTGTGAGGGGGAGGCATTTTGAGACTGAGCATTATCCGACAGCTGTTTCAATTCTTTGGCTTTCAACTTCGCCAACTGCTGCTGTTTCTTAAGATCGTTTACCAAGGCATCTAATTCCTCTATGTTGGGCTGAGTTATAAAAAATTGTGATATCAATTATGGAGGTTATTTAATTAATGAAGTAAATAAAAGTAAATAAACAAAATGAACCTTTAGTCGAGTGTAGAGTTCGAGTATAGATCGTGAAATTTCTTTCAAGTCCGATTCATCGACACCCATCACTAACCACCATGGAGGATTATTTGGCAGGGGAATCTGTAATGGAAATATTCTGCATATAATATAAATAAAAATTATAGAATTTATAAATAAATTGTACAAGTTTAGAAACGAAACAAACTTGAAGATTGCGTGAAGCTAAATATATGCAGGCACAGGCTATGGTTTCCGGTTGAAATCTAACAAACACATTTGTCCTGAAGCTATCGTTCATATAATTCCTGTGATGTTGATAGAAAACAATTAATTAAAACAAGAAATTTCCTTTGGTCAATGCAACCCAATTGACTGATTTTTCATGGTTCAATATCAATTTACACGGACTCATCCAAAGTTATCTAAAAATAAGCTGGGCTGAAAATTAACCCATACATTTCATTATCTGCGTTTTTATTTGTTTAATAATTAAATGTACAAATCAATAATTGAATAATTAATTATAAGAATTGGAGCATATGGCAGTCTTGGACCCCAAATAAATGAATTGAATACATCTGCAGTGAGCCATCTATACAAAAGAATGTTATTGTTATTAAATTATAAATAATTAATAATTAAATAAATAAATAAATCTATCACTTTTCCATCACGTTCATATTTCTACACAAGCAGACAATTTACAACCAAATTATCATAGAATAATTAATTATTAATTGTGTAAGTCACCATTCAGCACAAATGACGATCACCACCACAACCATCATCACCATCCAACTCATCAACAACCGCATAACATTTTTAGTTATCGATTGATGATCAAGCGATGTGATCACCATGGTAATGGTAGCCTGTTCCTCAAAATTTGTGACAACTATTCTGTTGAAATGATGATCTATAACCTGCGTTGGCAGGCAAACAATTAACATAATTTAATTTGAATTTACCATTCTGTGTTATCTAATACATTAGATAAATCATATTCAAAAAATTAATTAATTAAGGTTTAATAATAAAAATAAAAAAAAATTTCTGCTCAGCTGTTAAACATTGCTGGCAATTTAATAGCATGTAACAGCCACCATAAAAATCAGTCTCATGAGTTGAAGTTGACCAAATTAATTATGGAATGATGAATGAATGAATAAATGATAGAATGAATGAATAAAGTGACAAGTTAAAAACAATTATAAAATACTTACCAGGCATACTGAACCAATCGTCTATTTTGTTCTGCTTCAATAACTTGTAAATACATTACAATTATCTGTGTTGGGAAATAATTACAATATACATTATTTGCATTTGACTCAATGAAACATGGCAAGTAAAGAGGACCCACTTTATGAGGATGTTTAACATGGACGCAAAAACCCAGTTCTTTTAAAACTCGTCGTTCAGCTTTTATAACTTGGTTCTTTGAATTAACATAGTTGTTATCTAACATCATTGGCATTATAGTTCTGAAAATTGAATGAAAAAATATAGTTTTTAATAGTACCAATTTTATGGATAAAGGAATGAGAACTGCCACCTGAATAAATAAATGGGAAGGAGCAAAACATACTTTTTATTTCGAATTTGCTTGATGTGGTTGAAAACATTCATGACATCCCTAATCCTTCTCGGTGCCTCTTCAATCTTGGAAGCCAAGTGGATGCAAGCCATGGAAAGGACCTTTGAGAATAAAATTGTGTATTAAAATACAAGATAATCTTCTTAACATCATCGCTTTATCACTCAGAAGAAAAACAAAATATTAACCTCAACATTGTGCTTGACAAATGATTGACAGTAATAAAACCTTTGAAACAGAACTTGTCCAGTTGCCATGGCTACCTACATTGGCATAAGAAATTTAATTTAGCAATCAAAAAATAGTTATAGATTATTCAATTTATTCTGATTTCAAATTAAGATTGAACTGGAAATTTACAACTCTTTCATTGTCTGAAATCATGATTGCCATAGTTATGCAAAGTCATCAATAGCTTTTCTATTCCCTTATATATATAATGCATCATCTGTGGCTAAATTATTGTAATGCATTCACGTTAGGATTAAATCATTTCGTATTTTAATAAATTTGATCTAATTTTTAATAAATTAATTTTAAACATGCAAACACCAAAAAATAAAATATATGACAAAAACAAATGATTTACAAGGCCTTTTAATTGCATAGCAAAAATTGTGAAAACAAGCAAATAAATATGAAAGGTCTAATTCTAATCAATTGACTGAAAGGTGTTAATAGCTTTATTCACTGAGTGGCTTATTGCAATAAAATCATCAACAAATGAAAATTTCATGTTGGTTGACTGATTAGAATAATATAGTGCTGATTGAGAATATTATCATAATATTCACACCAAGCCACATACTATTCACAATTAGTCAACATATACATAATATTCATAAACTTTTAAACCTATTATTATTTGTCTAAGACTTTGATACAATATAAATAAGCCACTTAACCAATTGGTCGGACCCAAATATGAATATATATTAATATTGATTACACACCCTCTAACTGTGCTATGCCATGAGGGAACTCTTGCTAAGTAACTAAAAGAGGTTCGGTTTGGTTAGTGTAGCAAGTCATTTAACTTAACGCCTTAATCTTTTTATTCTTTTTTAATCCAACGGCTACAACGGCTACAACTACTTACCTACAATTACTTAACGGTTTGGTTAATGTAGCAAGTCATTTAACTTAACGCCTTAATCTTTTTATGATTTTTTAATCCAACGGCTACAACTACTTAACTCCAAGACAATAGTCCTGTGGCAAAAACCAACTGCAGTTGCTGATTGGCTCAGACTTCGTCTGACCAATGGATAGGTGGTCGTGAAAAACAAAAAAAAAATAAAATTTAATTTACCTGAGGAAGGTTTAATAATATGCCAGACGTCTGAATGAGCTCACAGCCATAAATACGCAGGTCACATTCGTGCTCGTACGATAAATTATCAAGGACGGACGGGGTAGGATACAATTTTTCATCCGGCAAAACTAAATTTTCCAAGGAAATAACCACTTTACTAAAATTTCTTTCGAGTTTTTTAGAATCAATCAACGACCTAATCGAACTATCGGCCATCTTGTAAACAGCGAATAATGAATATACAAAGTTACAATAATACGGAAGCATATATATAAGAACGTTTCATAAAAGCAAAGAATTAATATTACAATTTTACAAGCCATCTACATAGAAAATATAATTATATTCTACAAACCTGATATATATGTATATATATATATATATATATATATATATATATATATATATATATATATATATATGTTGGTAATAGACCATAATTTTTACAATATTCTATAAATTCTACCGAATTTTTGGCGTTAATATGTTTGTAGTTCGTTTAGTTTATTAAAATTCAAAATAAACTTATTTTTCGAATTCATGCTGCAAATAAGGCCATATTTCGATTCCGAATGATCATCGTCAGTGCTCCTT